CTCCCGTGCCCAGCTGTCCCCTCTGGTTTCCTCACTGGTCTCTACATCCCCTCGTTCTCTCGGAACTTGGTGGGTGTTGGATACCTTCAGGACCGGGGGATCACAGTCACTTTTCCAGCGCACGGGAGGACTGCGATCTGTACGGACTCTTCCACCGGGGCAGTTCTTGCCACGTTCACCAGAGAGCCCCACTCAGGTCTCTTCGTCCTGCACACTCCGCCCCCGCAGGTAGCTGCGTCTGGTCAGGTTGCTTCGTCCCCCCCGGTAGCAGAGTCCAGTCAGGTTACTGCGTCCCCACCGGTTGCTGTGTCCGGTCAGGTTGCTGTGTCCGGTCAGGTTGCTGTGTCCGGTCTAGTTGCTGCGTCTTGCTCGTGCCGGTCTTTCACCCACCGGACCGTCTTGTGGCACCACCGTCTTGGCCACGCGTCGATCCCCCGCCTCCGCACTATGGCTAGTCACCGTCTTGTCTCAGGTCTCCCTCGCGTCTTCCCGTCGCTCCCTCCCTCGCCTGCGCCGCCGTGCACTCCTTGCGTCGCCGGCCGTCTTCGTGCCACTCCGCACTCCTCCTCCCTTCGTCCGGCCACTGCTCCCTTCCAGACACTCCACTTGGATGTCTGGGGCCCTGCACCTACGCAGGGACCTGAGAGGGAGCGCTACTTTTTGGTGGTCGTCGACGACTTCTCCAGGTACACCACGGTGTTTCCTCTCGCGAAGAAGTCCGAGGTGACTTCTACGCTGATCCGGTGGCTTCTAGCCACTGAGGGCACTCGTGGCCGTCGTGTCTCCTGTCTCCACTCTGACCGTGGGGGTGAGTTTCGCTCAGGCATTCTTGCCGGATTCTGCGGCGAGCAGGGCATTGTACAGTCCTGGACGCTGCCGGAGTCCCCACAGCAGAATGGGGTTGCTGAGCGCCGCATTGGCTTGGTCATGGACATCGCCCGCACGTCCATGATTCATGCCCGTGCGCCCCATTTTCTGTGGCCCTACGCGGTTCGCTACGCCGCTCACCAGCTGAACCTCCGGCTGCGCGTCTCGCGGCCAGAGGCTTCACCGACCAGTCTTTGGACCGGGTCCCCTGGTGTTGGGTCAGCTTTCCGTGTCTGGGGCTGCCTTGCGCTTGTCCGCGACACCTCTGCGGACAAGCTCTCGGCTCGCGCCGTCCCCTGTGTCTTCCTTGGTTTCCCGGTAGCCTCGGCCGACTGATCCTTTTACCACCCGCCCCTCCACCAGTTCCTAGACTCCCGTGACGTCCGGTTCGACGAGTCAGTGTCCTACTACACCAGGTACCCCTGTCGAGGTCTCCCGGTTCCCCTTCCCCCCATTTTCCTCGCACCCTCTCTTCCCCCTGCTCCCGCTCCTCCGGTACCCCCACCCCCCCCTGGTCCTGCCCCGTCAGGTGTGTCTCACGCTACCCCTCTACCCTCGGTCGCGCGTCAGGTAGAGGCTCCCTCCCCGCAGTCCTCCTCACAGTCCCCTCAGCAGCCTTCGGTACTTCCGCGACAGTCTACTGTGGACTCGGTTGGTTTTGGAGCTGGAGGTGCAGCCACTGGCGGTACTCGGTCCGGGGGTGCTCGTTTGAGGGGTGCTGGAGTTGGAGGTGCTGGCGCAGGTGGCGCTAGCCCTGGGGGTACTGGAGCTGGAGGTCCTGGCACTGGAGGTGCTAGTCTTGGGGGTGCTGGAGCTGGAGGTGCTGGCGCAGGTGGCGCTAGCTCTGGGGGTGCAGGAGCTGGAGGTGCTGGCACTGGAGGTGCTAGTTCTGGGGGTGCTGGAGTTGGAGGTCCTGGCACTGGCGGTACTAGTTCTGGGGGTGCTGGAGCTGGAGGTGCTGGCACAGGAGGTGCTGGTTCTGGGGGTGCTAGTGCTGGAGGCGCTGGCACTGGAGGTGCTGGTTCTGAGGAGACTGGAGCAGGAGACACTGGTTCTGCGGAGTCCACTCCGCCTCCCCACCGTCACGACACACGTCTCCAGGCGGCCCGTCGGCGTGAGCGTGAGGAGCAGGTGTTGTTGGAGAGGGAGCGGCAGGAGTTGCGGCAGTTGGACCTGCTGGAGCAGCAGCAGCAGCAGCAACAACAGCAGCAGCAGCAGCAGCAGCAGCAGCAGCAGCAGCAGCAGCAGCAGCAGCAGCAGCAGCAGCAGCAGCAGCAGCAGCAGCAGCAGCAGCAGCAGCAGCAGCAGCAGCCGCAGCAGCAGCAGACACCGCCGCCGCAGCTGCGACCACACCAGCTCCCTCTGGAGCGGCAGTTGTTCCCACCCGTGAGTGGCCTTCGGGCCCTTGGTCTTCCCTCCTCTCCTCCTGTTCACACTCCGTCCCCTCCAGCGTTTGGTCCCACGTCTCCTCCATCTGACGCCAGTCCGGCGGTCTGGTCTTCTCCTCCACCGCAGTCTCCTCCACCTGGTGTTCCGCACTCTCGTGTCCGTCCCTGTCCTCCGCGTGCTCGTCACTCGTCTCCCGTTACCGACCTCCGCACTGCCCTCCTTTGTTCGTCTCTTCGTCGACCTCCTCCTGAGTCCGTTCTCCCGTGTCCACCTCCGTCTTCTCTCCCTTTCCCCCCTACTCCTGTCACTGACTACTACTGCGTTGTTCGTCCTGTTGTCTCTCATGTCCTCGCCACTCTTGTCACCGACTCTCGTTTCCCTCCGTCGTCTGTCTCGGCTCTCACTGCCGCTGTCGCTGAGTTTGCTGCCGCCAATCGCCTTGACTACACCACCCGTGTGGTGCCAGCTCCTCCCTCCCGTCCTCTGTCCGTCGGGGGTGGGTTTGCCCTTGGCTGTGACGTCCTAGAGGACAGAGAGTCTGAGCTGGAGTACTGGGCAGCTGCTTCTCCCTCTGTCTGTGCCATGCTGCTATCCCCTGAGGGAGACCCCGACGCCCTTGACATACCGACTCCTCGCACTTACCGCGAGGCAGTGTCAGGGGCGTGGGCCTCACAGTGGAAAGCGGCTATGGCCTCGGAGTTCGCGTCTTGGAAATCCACAGGCACCTACGTCGACGCAGTTCCCCCTCCCAGGGCGAACGTAGTCGATGGCATGTGGCTCTTCAAGGTGAAGCGGCCGCCTGGTTCACCGCCTGTGTTCAAGGCGCGCTACGTGGCTAGGGGTTTCAGTCAGCATGAGGGAGTTGACTTCTTCCAGACCTTCGCCCCGACCCCGAAGATGACTACTCTTCGGATGTTAATGCACGTAGCAGCACAGCGAGACTACGAGCTGCACTCCCTTGACTTCTCTACTGCGTTTCTCCAGGGCCGACTACACGAGGAGATCTGGACGCAGAGATGGCATCCTGGAAGTCCACAGGCACCTACGTCGACAAGGTTCCCCCACCTGGGGCGAACATCGTCAGTGGCATGTGGATTTTCAGGGTGAAGCGGCCGCCAGGTTCTCCGCCTGCCTTCAAGGCGTGTTACGTTGCACGAGGTTTCAGTCAGCGAGAGGGAGTAGACTTCTTCCAGACCTTCTCCTCCACCCCGAAGATGACCACTCTTCGGGTGCTGCTGCACGTTGCCGCTCAGCGTGACTACGAGCTTCACTCTCTTGACTTCAGCACAGCCTTCTTACACGGCAGCCTGCACGAGGGGATCTGGCTACGCCGCCCACCTCGCTTCACTGGGTCGTTCCCTCCTGGTACCCAGTGGAGCCTCAGGCGGCCAGTCTACGGTCTCCGCCAGGCGCCACGTGAGTGGCACGACACACTGAGGACGACACTTGCGGCTCTTGGGTTTGCTCCGTCGACTGCTGACCCGTCGCTGTTTCTCCGCACCGACACTTCGCTGCCGCCGTTCTACATCCTCGTGTGCGTCGACGACTTGGTCTTTACCACTGCTGACACTGAGGCTCTCGCCCTGGTGAAGTCGGAGCTGCAGAAGAGACACACGTGCACAGACCTGGGTGAGCTGACAAGCTATCTTGGCTTGCGCATCACCCGGGACAGAGCACGCCGCACCATCACACTGACTCAGTCACACATGGTGCAGCAGGTCCTTCAGCGCTTCGGCTTCACCTGGTCCTCGGCACAGCACACTTCTCTGGCTACAGGTCACTCGCTCTCAGCTCCACCTTCGGACGAGTCCGTAGAGCCGAGTGGTCCTTATCCAGAGCTAGTGGGCTGCCTCATGTACCTGATGACCTGCACTCGTCCTGACCTTGCGTACCCTCTTGGCCTTCTGGCTCGCTTCGTGGCTCCTGGTCGGCACCGAAAGGTGCACATGGATGCTGCTAAGAGGGTACTACGCTACTTGTGCAGTACATCGGGCATGGGGCTCGTGCTTGGAGGACGGAGCGACGTTGTCCTCACTGGGCACTCAGACGCTTCTTGGGTTGACGACCAGGCTACACAGCGGTCGTCACAGGGTTACACCTTCAGCCTTGGCTCTGGTTCGGTCTCTTGGCGTTCTACACGCTCGTCTTCAGTTCTCAGCTCCAGTTGTGAGGCTGAGATCTACGCCACAGCCATGGCTGCACAGGAGTTACGCTGGCTCACCTACCTGCTGACCGACTTGGGAGAGCGGCCTCGTTCTCCTCCAGTGATGTACGTCGACAACAAGGCCGCCATTGCCTTGTGTTAGGAGCACAGACTGGAGCACAGAACGAAGCACATCGCTCTGCGTTACTTCATGGCTCGAGAGTTGCAGCAGCGTGGTCAGCTTCGTCTTGCTCACGTGGCCACTCGGGCTAACACAGCTGATATATTCACCAAGGCGCTTCCGTCTGGTGATCATCAGCGTTTCTGCATTCTGTTAGGCCTTGTGCCCACGTTTTCTCACTTGCTGTAGACTTTGCTTGTACTGTGATCTATACATATATATACCTGCATGCTTGCTCTTGTTAGGTAGTGATCACTGTGCTTTGCTGCATATACATCTCTACATGTGAACTGGCCTTGTGGCCTCTTACTTGTGCTCAGAGTGTGTGGTGACTTTGTGATCCACCCTGAGCTGTGTTTTGTTTCTTCTCTTGTCTGGTCTTGTGACCTTTGCTTGCTCTGGCTATCCCCCATTTCGCCTATGGGGGTGTGTCAAACAATATATGCATGTTTAGGTTATCTAGGCTGTATGGGGGTTAGCACTAGGGGGTACAATATTTCTCTCGACATTCTTCTTGTACCCCCCCCTTCACCCAACTTCCGCGTGGAGGCAACCCCTTCGTCCCCTCCTTATGCCCCCTCTCTCCCCCCATTTCCTCATCCCCCATCACCCGTCTCAACCCTTACAGTGCCGGCACGGGCATACGGCCCCATAAGCCAATCACAACTACTTGGCCGGCTGGGCATCAACTTTCGAGTGGAGGCGGTGCTGCGAGTGGCGTCGGAGCAGCAGGCGGAGGCTCTCAGGGACGGGTACTGGCGGCTCGTGGGCGATGGGGAACCCCCGTGGCTTGATGACGAGGATGAGAGTGCAGGCGTGGAGGGGAAGATAGTGGAGAGGGAGGGGGAGATGGGGGTGCGTGGTGGGGGTGAGAGTAATTCGTCTGGGGAAGGTGGTGGTGGTGGTGGTGGTGGTGGTGGTGGTGGTAGCAGTGGGAGGAGGTCGTTTGAGGGCATGGGGTCGAGGTACAAGGCTCTTGTGATTGCGAGTGACAAGTTAGGCGTGCCGGTTGGATTCGAGTGACCTCGTACTCTGCCTTGTACAATCACGAAGCGTGTTTATTGCACAAACCGCTCACCCCCTGCAGACATTTCTGGTGGGGTTGCTTTCCGGCACGCTGAGGCACTGAAATTGCATGCAGCGATGTTGTCAGCGTGATTTTGTGCCAGGCTGGCTGAGTGGCATGCTTCTGTGAGCTGCATGTACCATGCTTTCATACAGCAGGTCAAGAAAACCGAGGCGTGCTCCAATCATCAGCCAGCATAAATTCTAGTACACATCTTATAAAGGACCCATCTGCCACCACAACACCAATCTCAGGCACCATGTGCACAATGGGAACCAGTGAAATGGACATACAGCCTGACTTACTACCAGCAACAAGCACACCATATGAAGCAGCATCAGCCCAACACCTGGTCACATCACATCCACTAGGGTCTGATCTGACCCCCAGGCTCTAACTCTATCCCTCAGGAGAAGACGACGACCTTCTCATCGGCGCCGTAGCGCACCCAGTTCCCTCCAAACGCCCAGTTCTCGAACCCGCCATTGCCAAGATTCTCCACGGAGAACGCGCCCTGCTTGAAGTAGACGGTGAACTCGGAGTTATCCCAGAAGTGCCACACCTCCACCTGCACGGATTCCGGGTCGCCTTGCACGGAGTGGTCGCTCTGAATGACCATCACGTTGTACCCCGCGTTCATGAATAGATCCACGATCTTCGTCGTCACCTCGTCGTCATTCGGACCGTCGATCGTGCCCAGGCTGCCGGCTTTGATCTGATCCACGGTCACGCCGTCCCAGCTGAAGAGTTTTCGGCGCTCCACCCTCTGCGGGGACACGGCGGAGTCCGCGTGGGCGAGCGCACGGCGGGCGACGCCGCGCGTGGCGGAGGGGGATGCGTGAAGGACGGGCCGCGCGGCGCTGGCGCTGGTGACGGCGAGGAGCAGCAGGAAGGCGAGAGGAAGGGGAAGCAGGTTGCGGCCTGAGTGGAGCCGCGCGGTGCAACTAGAAGTAGCAGCCATGAAAAACTTCTCAGATGCTCAGATCTCGGTGAAAAGCTTGTAAGAAAAGTAGCGGCAATGACAAGGTGAGCTTGCACGCGAATGCGATGGTTTCAGGAGCGAAGCACAGTCGAAAAATGATGCTGTTAGCAGAGCCGTGATCGGTATGCACGAACGACTCTAATACGAAAAGGAAGGAGAATGGAGGGAGAGAATATGGAAGATGTGATAACTATGTCGAGCTGAGCATCTGATTTATAGGCCTTGGCACTCTCTGAGTCTGAGACATGGAAAATCAACCTTCCAGTCGCTCTCAGACACGAGCGCGGCTTGCGACTCGCTTGAGCCGTCATGGCTATCCCCGCAAGCGGACTCCGTCGCGACGCACGCGAAGGGACTCTGACGTGTGGACTACGCTCAGACTTGACTGATACGCGACGATTTAATGGGGTTTCTTCAATGTGACAGGCTGCGGTAGGAGCAATAACTAGTGCAGGGGTAGCTACTGGGAATGCCAGTGCAATAGGCGTGGTGCGAGCAGGCGAGGTGAAGCGTGTTGTGGGGTGGAAGGAAGTGGGTTGGTGCTCGAGGTGGGGTGGAAAGGTTGCTTCGCTACTGAAATGTAGGCGGGACCAGCTCACGGAAGCCCTTCAGAATGAACATTTTGCTAAAGTGGGTATACGGAGCTCATGTGTGAACTTGAATCGATTCGTGGTTTGTTGGAATGTGCAGTTACAACTGGGTTTCTCACACATTACCGCTTTGGAACGCAACACACCGAATGAACCTGTGCTTCAAGAGTTCCGAACCATCGGCAACAAACCTTGGTCGGAGAAACAGTTCGATCTCCTTCCCAATATCTCATCACTCTCACCACATCTCACCACTCACCACCACTTTCCACCCACCATCCACCACCATTCACCTCACCACCACCACCCGCCACCGTGAATTTTGCCTAGGCTTTGTGTTTCTTGAATTCAAGCTCCCTCCCTCCCCCTTGTCTTACTCCCTTGTCTGCATTCCAAAGCCCCTCATCACGACATTATTTAGATACGGTACCTGCACACCCTGCTCTCTCCGCGACCGACCAAGGATGAAAGCTCGCGACGACGGACGCAAGGTCCTTTGTCGGCCCGTCTGCTCAATGGACGGCGACGGACTTGACGGTGACTGGCTTCATGACGACACGTATGACGGAACCCGTCCACAACCCGCAGCTAGGCCTTTCCGGCACCTATGCATCGCGTTTAGCAGCCGCCAGTTCGCCGCTGAAGAGTCTCAGTTTGTGCGGAGAGTGACTGATCCGACGATCCAGATTGGACCGAATGAGCCGCCCGACGACAGCATACTGACTCGATTGGCCATCGATCATCAATCGAGTCTCGAGTTTTGACACGAGAGCACAATCGAAATCTCAACTCTCGACTTGCGATGGGTACGGCATCCGAGGTGCCGTGGTCTGTTGCTGACCATCGCGGCGACAACAGTCTTACTGCGCTCTACCTATTGTCAAACTTATATGCTGCTTATTGTGTAGGCTGTAGTGGGGTAGCCCATATGGGGTACAACCCAATTAGGGTTTCCTACTTGTACCCACATTGCTGCTAGTTCATTCATTCCTCTTCGTACTTCTGACATGGTTTCAGAGCAGGTCCTAGCCTAGGACCGTTTTTTTAGGGCCCACCGAACCGAGCTACCCCACGAATCGCGCCGCCCTGTTAGCGTCGCGCCGCCCTGCCCTGCCCTGCGTCGCGCTGCCGCGCACGCCCTGCCCTGCCCTGCCCGCGCGCTGCTTGCTGCTGCGCGCCCTGCCCTGCCCGCGCGCTGCTCGCCGCCGCGCGCACTGCCCTGCCCGCGCGCTGCGTGCCGCCGCGCCGCGCGCCCTGCCTGCGCGCTGCTCGCTGCCGCGCCGCGCGCCCTGCCTGCGCATCGCTCGCCGCCGCGCCGCGTCGCCCTGCTTGCGCGCCGCTTGTCGCCGCGCCGCACGCCCTGCCTGCGCGCCGCTCGCCGCCGCGCCACGTCGCCCTGCCTGCGTGTCGCCGCCGCTGCACGCCCTGCCCTGCCCGCGCGCCGCTCGCCGCTGCGTGCCATGCCCTGCCCGCGCGTCGCGCGTTGCTGAGCGCCCTGCCCTGCCCGCGCGCCGCCCGCCGTGCGCCCTGCCCTGCCCGCGCGCCGCCCGCCGCCGGCCCTGCCCTGCCAGCGCGCCGCCTGCAGCCGCGTGCCCTGCCCTGCCTGCGCGCCGCCCGCCGCCGGCCCTGCCCTGCCCGCGCGCCGCCCGCCGCCGTGCGCCCTGCCCTGCCAGCGCGCCGCCAGCAGCCGCGCGCCCTGCCCTGCCCTTGCGCCGCTAGCAGCCGCGCTGCCCTTCCTGTGCGCCGCCCTGCTGGCCGCTGCCCTGCCCTGCCCTCCTTGCGTGCTGCCCTGCTGCTAGCACGCCTGCCTGCTCTGCCTGCTATGGCGACCCTGAGCGTCATCACCTTTGATTCTGAGGGCCGCCCGATAGAGTTCGACTCTTGGCTCGATGACTTACAGCTATTCTTACTGAGCGACTCTAAGGACGGTATTTCACTGTTCGACCTCACTTCTGGCGCTTCCGTCGCCCCTTCCGACACAGCTGACAGTGCGACTCGCTCACATTGGCTTACTCGTGACGTTGCTGCTTGCCTAGCCGTTTGCAACCACCTGCCGTTAGCCGAACGCGCTCTTTTGGACAGCACAAGTTGGAAAGCACTGTACGACGCTGTAGTCGCTCGTTACTCCTCCCCGGCCACTGCTGCTCTAGGCCGCCTTCTCCTGCCCTACCTGTTCCCAGAGCTGTCTGCCTTTGCCACAGTAGCCGACCTCGTCACTCACCTTCGCTCTAGTGACACTCGCTACCGCGCTGCGCTTCCCGCCGAGTTTCTCACCAAGAACCCTCCTCCCATGTACATCACTCTCTACTTCATAGTCACCCGCCTCCCTGACTCTCTTAGCACTGTCAGGGACCTCCTTCTTGCCCTCGACCCCACCACCCTCACTGTCGACCTGCTCGAGAAGCACCTCCTTGCAGCTGAGACTAGCATAGTCGCTGTAGGCGCTTCTCGTGGCACTCCTCGCGCTCCCTTCTTTGAGGGGTGTTCGCCCTCCCCCCTTCTCCCCTCAGTCGCCTCTGCTGCAGTTGTTGACTACCTTCGTGCTGAGGAGGTAGGAGCTGCGTCTGCCCCTAGTGGGAGGCGCCGCAGCGGCAGGGGCAGGGGAGGAAGGGGCGGTGGGGGCGGCAGAGGTGGAGGCGGTGGTGGGGGCGGTGGAGGCGGTGGAGGGGGCGGCGCTGGCGGAGGGAGTGGTGGTGGGGGTGGAGGTGTAGGTGGCGGCGGCGGTGGCGGCAGTGGCGGTAGTGGCGGCGGCAGTGGTGGCAGCAGTGGGAGTGGAGGCGGTGGCAGTGGTGGCGGCCGGGGTGGTACCAGTCAGAGGGGAGGCCTTGGCGGTGGTCAGAGGCAGCAGCAGTAGCGTCAGCTTTCGCCCCAGGACCTACGTGAGTGGTTTGCTCAGCGTGGGCGAGCTGGGGGTAGTGGTCCCTACCCGTATGTCATTCGCACAGGTTTTGGCACTGGTCAGACATGCGGGAAGCTCCACACCCAGTACCGCTGCTTCTCTCGTCTTACCGATGCCTTCCGCGCAGAGTTTCCCGACGCGGCTGAGCTCCCCCGCTGGGCAGAGCTGCTTAGGCAGGGTGTAGACATCTTTGCTCTTGATTATGATGCTATCCTTTCTGCCATGTATGCATTGACTATTAGTGCCGAGGGTGACTGTTACCTGTGTATGCCGCCCGACCCAGGTAGAGAGGTTGCTGCTCTAGGTGCTGGTGAGTGTGCTGCTCTAGGTGCTGGTGAGTCTGCTCTCTCTAGTACTGCACCTGCTGAGGCCTTGCACACCTTCACGCTTGACTCAGGTGCTTCCCGCTGTTTCTTCCGCGACAGTACCGCACTCACACCACTCCCAGCACTTGTTGCTGTCTCTCTGGCTGACCCCTCTGGGGGC